AAGTATGACAAAAGTCAATTGTTAATTCTAGTTTACTCAATAATTATCTATATTTTTAAAAATAATTTTTTCTCAATCATGTTTGTATGATTTTTTTAATCTTTAGAAGACCGCAGAGCTTTTTTTTAAAATCAAAAATGTAGAAAACAATACATATTTAATGCATAATTTTCTATGAAATATGATACTGATTTTAAAACTTATTCTACGATCCTTTAAAAGTTAATCTAAATTAGATGTTTAATCGATAAAATTAACGTAAAAATTAAATTTCAGGATAAAGTATTATTTCTCTCTGTAGATGACCTTTTACTTACTTCTTGATCTACGTATTGTAAAAGATATGTCCATCCCGTAAAGTCAGATGGATCTTCATTAACAGCTTTCCAATATTTTTCCAGTTCGGGCAAAGTTTTCTTTTTCGGCGATGCTGGCTTAGTCTCTTGCTTATCTCCTACGTCTACTTCGCTCGACAAGGCTACTTTTTTTGTCGGTGCCTCGTCGTTGTTCTCAGATGTTGGAGAACTGGGATCGTATTCTCCTTCTGCATTCAATTTACGCTTAACTGAAAGTAAAAGAAACATGTAACAAACCTAGTTTCAGACTCATAAAAATCGTAAGAGAATGCTATTGGAGATGTACATACTTCCGCCTTCCACTTTTGCTTTCTTTTCCGGCGTTTTACTCATCGACTTTGCCCCGCTCTTCCTCTTCTTATCACTGTCCGGTGGTAATTCGTCTTCAGATACAGATTCAGTTTCGCCCAAATCTGCAGGAGGAGCAGCCGGTAGTTCTTCATCAGAGACCGCCTCGGTTTCAGGTTCCTACATGTTTGAAGTTACATTTTATTCAATGTATCGATTTAAATTAATTACTCTATTACGCAAAGTGTAGAAAAGCAATAATTACATACCTTGGCTGTAGTTTCACTTGGTAACTCATCTTCTGACACAGCTTCCGTATCAGGCTCTGTTTTTTGCGTGTCATCTTCATTCTCAATCACTTCAGTTATTTCTATACGCGGCAAGGAGTCGCTTTGCGACACTTCCATATCAGGTTCTTCTACTTTGCCCAGTACTGTGTCTACTTCTGACATTTCTTGCTGTGAATCATCAATTTCCATAACTTGAATTCCAGTACCAGTATGCGCACTTAAGTTCTCCGAATCTACCTCTTCTGCTTCTAGAATCTCTTGCGTCATCGTAGTACCATCCTCGTTAATAACTTCTTGAAAATCAATCAACACACGTTGCTGATTTGAATCATCATTACTGGCGTCTTGATCTTCCATCTCAATATCTTCACGTTCAGCTAGCATTTCTTTGTCCATGCTACTGTCTTCCATAATTATCCCTTCTGTTCTGATGTTAGAATGTCTCTGTAATAAACCAATAGTTCTAACAATATTTACAAGATAATTCTATATATTTAATGAATAAGTGTGATTTTTCATTTACTTAAAAATGAACAAAAGTGAGATAATTAAATTCAACAATCTTGCAATCAAATAGAAAGATATATATTTAATGTTTACCATATCTTCTATATCTTGTTCTATTTCTTCACTTTGACCCATGTTTATTTCATGTATATTTGCGTCTTCTGAATCTTCCAGTTCTAAATGTAACATAGGAGTATCTTCCTCGCTACGTTGGTCGATAATAATATCTGATAGTCGTTGAACTCCATTTTCCGGGACATTTTCCATTAAGCTTTCTTCTAGTGCAGAAGAACCTTCCTGCAATTACAATTAATGATGAAGTGTTTTCTTTCATGTCATTCTAGCATCCATTTATTTGAATAAGCTATTCTTTATATATTTTATATACTGCATGATACCAAAAAACTTCATCGTAATCATATTTAAAAATGAAGTAAATATTACTTCTCACTACTTTTACTCCGATAGAAATAAATATATCACAGTGTTAGCAAGAAATAAATGTAAAAAATATGATTTATTGAGTTACAATAATTATAAATCTACTATTTAGTAAAAGTAATCATCTAACTTTCACTTGCATATGCCTCCACTTGCAGACTACAACTAAGCTACAGTGGCAGCTTGTTTTGACTAATCTAATTAACACCAGCTTTTCTTTGAGTCATAACGCAGAGCTAACGCAAAAGGAAAATAAAGTAAGATTAAACGCTTTGCTCTGCTTTAGTTTCATACATCAAATTAAGCAATAGCGTCAATCGATGCCGGCACAACCGGTTTCGGAAGATCTGGTCCATACCTCAACCTCCTCGGTGTCGTGAATCTTCCTCGGGGAGCGCGTTGCCCTGGCAAGAAGTTTCTTCACAGGTGATTTCTTCGCCACTACTGTCTTACGAGCTCGACCACCTGATCTAGTACGTCTCACTAGAAAAATCATCAAATATTTATATCGCTTTACGTGTCGAGACGCCATTTCTCGAAATGGCGGTTTCGAAGGCTGGGGAGCGGTCACGCCGGGCGCACATTCTCGGAGACGAGCGACTTTTCGGTAACGACCTGGCGATTGTAGTCAAAATAAGTGGCAATTGATAAAATCAAATTTCTTTTTTACCTGGTTCAGCCATCGCAATTTCAACCTCATCTCCGCTTGCAGAGGACATGTTTTGTGCTATTGATGCAATTTCTGGAATGTAAAGCGCAGAACTGAAACGGAAAATGGCGGCAGTCTGGATCAAGCTTGCCAATAAAAAGAAATGGTTTCTCTGCACAGATCATAAATGCCCTAAACGTATATAAGTGGATACAGCGCGCTATCGCTAGATGCCGCAAAAGTCATTTGTGACGCCATACGTTCGCAGAGTGCGTTATGCATTATTCTATCTTTATCGCTCATTAGCATAAAACAAGGATAGAATGACACAATAGCGCTGATAGTTATGGAACGTTGTTGAATGGAAATATTTAGGATAATATTAAAACTTTGAAAAAAAAACTTAATATTTGAAATTTTATTCATTTATTTTACAATTTATAAATTTTATTATTTACTTTCTTTAATATATATATATATTAATTTTTTTTTTTACTTCTAATTACGTATCCCTCAGGGCTTAAGTTGACAAGCCAATTAAAGAGAGCCCCAATTAAACTGCAATATTTGATTCAATTGCACATGTACGTTTTGCTCAATATTTATTATTGAATGATAATAAGTTATAGCTTCAATCTCTTTATGTCTTCCGGCCGAAAATCTATTCTCAAAGAAGCGATACGTCGAACTTCTGATGGTGTTAATCGCCACGCTATCGCATCCGCGCCGCAGTAATCAGCGAGTTCTTCGACCTTTTCTATACTCAGAATAGTGGCGATTTGTGTTAAACGCGCGAATTTATCTCTTATGGACCATGACGTGGCAGCTGCTAAATAGCTGGCTAACGATCTTATTTCCTTGTCTAATATCAAACCACCTGCCTGAAATGTGCAAATTTGCTGTATTACATTAATATTCTAATTTAAAGGGTAAGAAAACAGTTTACGAGAACAACTTAAATTTAATGTACGTACTCGATTAAAAGTTGACTTCAAGACCACCTTTTCTAAACGCGCTGTAACTTCCGCGGTCAAAAGTCCGATAAGTGCATCGTAATTGGAAGTTGTTAGACTATCTTTGAATCCTTGAAGTAGACTCTCCAGGTTCGTGACTAACGTTTGCACAAATGGCTCGTCTGTTTCGTATCTCAACAATTCATCCTGTATGTATACATAAATACCATTATTTTGGAAATATACAAAATGTACTTATTCCTGCAAGATGTACCTCATTAATATGATGATCTACGGATAGAAATGCATCCACCCATGGAGTAACTCTAGGTTTCACAGCACTGACGCGTAACTGTTCTAGACCGTAATCGATAACACCACGTAAAATTAATATAACTCCCTTCAGACCAGCTAAACAACTATCAATTTTGCCTCTGTCCCTCTTTTGCATGTTGGGAAACGTTGCGTCTATTTCAACACTGAGACTTTTGCACAATGTTTGTACATACTCTGTGCTCACATCGGTATTATTTAGGTATGCCTGGAAAATGACACAAACAATAATTAGATATATAATAAACTGATATAAAAATGTATTTCAATATACTAAAATTATTACAGTAATAACATGATAAGCAATATGTAAACTGTAGATTTTACTTACCAAAAACATAAGACGAGCATATTCTGTGTCAGACGTTTGCAAACGACCGTGCTGTATGCTCGTTTGGAGAGCACTGTACGCTTGTGCCAGATCTAAGTAACCCGCTGGATAACCCTGGCGTAATCTGTTTCTTAATCTGTTTGCAAATTCGCCTTCCAAAATACCACAAGCCATGTTCACGACAGCGCAAACACCGTCTATACTCCAACTCGACATAGCGCGTCTGCAAAAATTGTTTATTATTTTTCCGATAATGTCATAAACTACTAGCTAAATCTGGCAATATATACCGTATGCACTTCTGCACTATGAAAAATACGTCGTCAACCATACTAGAAGTTTGCTGATCAGGATCCAATGCATCTATTCCCAAAGCTTTATTTACGCTCTCCTCGAGAAAATATCTCTCTAATGCAAGATAAGCACCAAGCAACTCTTGCATGCCATGCGCCAATTCGGAATTATTCATAGTCGTTTCAAATTCATTCAATAATTCAGTACGTTGCGTCTCGTCTGTTGTACTGATCTCTATGTCGTTCTGCAAAAGAAATATTATTTATTAATGCGCAGTGTTAAATGATCATAATAAATCATAAGATTATTTAGTAACTTTTTACTTTAATTCTTCTTCTTAGAAAACGTATGTAAAGCTCTGCCCTTGAATGCATAATAGTTATTTCTCCCAAAAGAAGATCGAGCTCTTTGGGATCGAATCTTTCAGGATTTGGTTTTCGCAAATAGTCATTTATTATCTGAACATTCTTGGATATATTTCTATGTTTTGTAAATACTGTAATAATCTTCTTGACTTGCCTATTTTATAAAAATATAAGTTAGTGTACCATTTCTTTAAATATATAAATCTCTAAAACTTAATATATACAATACAAATTCAACTTACCTATCACATTCCTTTTGCAAAATTGAGATGGTCATTAAAAGTCTGCCAGGACCGTAATAAGTTTCAATAATTGGTTGATGGACTTCTACAATACGCGCAATTCCTTCAAATAAAAGAGTCATAGTATCAGCAAAAATTACAGCTGCTCTTTTATCGTTACTTTTAATCTCTAGTGCCACTTGTAGATTCTTCTGTGCAGTCTCATGCAGCTAATATTAAAAATAAATAAGATTAAGTAATATCTTTTTAATGAGAATTACATGACAGAAATATTGAATTAACCAACAAGTTTCTTCAGATTTTCTGACAAAAATAAAAGGAAAACATCACAAAAAAACTTTCTGATTAATCCAATATAACTTTATGTATGTTATATCATACTTTAGTACACAAGTAACTGCAAAATTTTTTTAGTCCTTCTAAATGCATCCCTAATAGTGGAAATATCTTGAAAAATCGTTCAACAGATGCCAAGTCCTCAGATTTGACAGCTTCATCAAATTTATGCGTAATAACTGTTCTCAATTCCATTGCGGCTTGTTGCAAGGTAATCAAGGAACTGCTAATACTAGTGTGATCTTCAGATATGTCTTCAGCTGTTCTTTCCAGCAATTGCTGATCCATTGTTAGGTAACGATAAACATGAGCAGCACCCTGTTCATAATCCTCATTACGCAGAGCAGTTGCTACTCCCTCACTGCATAATTGCAAATCTAATATATCATTTACTCTACTTTGGCATTCGCACACTCTGCTCTGTTAAACAAAATTACAATATTTAAAACTTAAGAAAATGATTAGATAAATTTATGTTCAAAAATTATATTACTCCTAATTTAAGTAACTTACTCTTGCTAAATCCAGCTGTCTCACTTTAGCACTAACATTTTCTGCTAACTCATTAGTACAAGCAATCATATCACAAAATTTTCTTCCTTCTGTGTGTATTACTATAACATTTGGTAACACTTTGCCAATATTTTGTAGCTTTGCCTCTACATGACATCGTCGAGCAAGAATGGCATCTAAATTTTTCTTTATAGAAACCTGTCATCAAATATAATTTTTATTAAATGTATGACAATTATTTTTAATAACATATTTGACAATAAATAAAATCTTAATTTATGTAATTATAAATAATGAAACTATAAAACTTAATTTGTTTATAGAAAATTTGTCTATATACAAGGTATAAGTAATAAAAAAATCATATGCAATAGATTCAAACCTCATCTTGAGATAACTTATCCAATATTTGTTGTAGGTTTTCCTCATTTATTGGTAAAACCATATTATCAACAATATTTCTCTTCCAAATATTTTACACGGACTTGACAGAAACAAAACCGAATTCACAGTAATGTCAAATTTGAGATACAAACAGCAAGTAGCACGAGGGAGGGAATACTGCACAATGCGCAAGCCACGTACATACATGTGAGCTCCGCGCTTTATACACTAGAAAAGAACAGACATACTATTTCTGTCTCCTTTCTTAATGGCCAGAAACATTCCATTTTAGCTGGAATTGAAAAATTGTTAACAGGAGCACATGAAAATATAGGAGCTCACTCATATAGTGGGTGCCATTTATTGATTAGATAAAGTAACATTACGAATGCATTGATAGTAAATGTACCGACTAGTGTAGTCGGTATACTTACCATCATGTACAGTTATTAGCGTTTTCGATTATACAGGATTTGAACGACCCAGGGTTGGTTAATGACGTCATTGCAACCTCTCCACCAATGAAAGACTTGCATTTATAGTAAAATAGTGATTGATCAACCCTGGGTCGTTCAAATCCTGTATAATCGAAAACGCTATATGAGTGAGCTCCTCTATCATCATGCGCTCCTGTTAATATTTTTCAATTCTGGTTAAAATGGAGCGTTTCTCGCCGTTCCAGCGAGTAATCTTAATTTTTCTACATACTTCTGGGCTACTATTGATAGTTAGGATGCTTGTAAAATACTTAAATAATTAAAACGCCTTTTTAAAATTTCTGGAAAGTTTTTTATTGCAAAATTCAAAATGTCAATTGTTAAAGAAATTAAAAACGTCTTCTTTAGGACGCTTTTAGGACGTTTTAAAGATGTCTTTTTTAAGACGTTTTTAGGACATCCTAAATATGTCTTTTTTTAGAACGTCACAAAAATATCACAAATTTTATATATTTTTCAATATTTAAAATATCTGAGGATAAATAATATATATGCTATTTAAGTTTACACTTAAGTACTTATTTCGGAATTTTATTTTGTTTACATTATTCAAATTCAGATTGCACTCGCATTTTTGAAAATAATATGCAAAATTTTATCTCGGGATCCGAAAAATTCAGAATATTTCAGTTTAAATAACACACTTTAATATAATTATTCACTCTGAAACTTTGTTTATATAGTTTTATAGTGCCATAATTTGGTCGATGGTACTCTTAAAAAGAGCATTAATATATTCCAATAAAATTAGTTTTAAATAAATTGTAAATAACCTTTCCATACAACACTAATAATTCTTAATTTCATATAAATATACATATTTTCAAAAGTAACTTCTTAAAACTAATAAAAACAATTAAATAAGTAACATTTTAAACCATAATCTAACACAAATAAATGAGATTATAAATATATTCATCTTACTTAAATAAATTCATCTTACTTCACACCATATTTACCATATTTCTCAACAGCACAGATTTATAACATAAGATTTAGGAGTCTTTGTCAGTTAATGACATGAAAGTTATCAACAAGATGAAGGTATATGCCAGTAGATTTAAAAAGCTAACACCTGCGATGGATTTGTGCAGTCGCCTATTGTCATTCTATGCATCGCCATTTCCGTAATACCGTGATAGTGCACAAAAGCAGCTGCAATCACTAATACATGGAAGATTTGATGGCTCTGAAACTAAATTCAAAACATAAGATACAAAATTGTTAAGATATAATCGAGTCTTAAATAACATGCAACATTTTAATAGATCTTACCCAAATATCAAACTTTCCTGGGAAAAAACGTTCAGGCACCCTTAAAGCATAAAATAATGCACCTAATATATACAAACATCCCATTAATATCAACCAACCAAGGGAGGCTTGGCTAATCGCCTTAAACCAACCTTCGGCGACAGCATAATGTACAGCTGGTATTACCTAAGTAAAATAAAAATAGTAGATATTAATTTGAAAATAAAGCTGTATTGTGTAAATAATTAAAACAACTTACCCCACTAAGTCCAAATCCCATAAAAACTCCGGCTCTGAGTGGACGATAGTTTGGTTCACCAAACCTCTCCCATAAAGATACTACGATACTGGTTATACCAAGGACAACCACCACAGATAGATAAATTAATTTAGGTTGATAGTCACAATAAAATCCATAGTAAAGCCATGGTACAAAACTACCCATAATAAGCATAGCTATGCCACAATAATCTAACTTTGAAAATAGCTTTCCAACACATTCGCTGTGGCAATGAACTGTGTGAAAGGCAAATGACATTCCTAGGCAAATTATAGCACCAGCAAAGAAGGTACCAAATACCAATTTTTCTTCCAATTGAATTTCTATAGGAGGTTGCGTTAGAAAAAATATAGCTATACCAATAAAGGCAACGCAGCCTGTAAAAAAATAAGACATTTGATGAACAAAATTTGTAACTAAAAGTTACACAATATGCTTAAACAAATATGCTATGTATATGCTTCTTGTTATGTAATGTATGCTTTCAAAAAAGTGTACATCAATATATTCCACCAGTGTCCCTCAATATTGCATTAATAAAAGAAGACATACCTAACAAATGTGTCCAAATATTGCCAGTTTCAGTATGAATTCGAAAAATACTTTTGAAACATGCATAAAACGAAGGTAATGGTGGCCTATGACCAGCATGTAAAAAATCATTATCCTGCAGCCATCGTGGCAAATTTCTAAAATGACATTGTTTCCAAGATGCCTCCCATACCTGTCAATAAAAAATTGCAAATCCAAAGCTATAAACTTAACCGTTTAGTCACCAGTGACGCACCAAATTACAATCTAGATTAATTTTCTTTGTTACAATTAGTATCTTACAATTATTCGGCAATGTGATAGTATACATAACCTTATTAGATATCTTTTTACCTTTCGAACAAATTCTTCAGCTTGCTCTGCTGCATTATGAGCTAACGCACCTAGATCAATTTCATCACTTAATACGCCTGCTTTCAACACTTCAGTCATCTGTAATTTAAACAAAAGATGTTTGATCAATTAATTTTTACATTCTTTTAAGACAATGAGAAACATACCTCACAATCCAAAAGATGATCATCTTCTGGAGTTGAAGGCAAAGGACATCCAACTCCATCTTCCTCTTCTGCCAAACAGCTTGCATCATCATCGTCTAATAATTCTGTAACTTCGTGTAAACCAGGTATTTCACTATTTAGCAATACACGATCACTCCATGGAATACGATGTCGTATTCCACCCAACTCTGATAAAATTTCTTCTTTCTTCTTGGCTTCCAAAATGACATCTTCGTATTGTGACATGTTCAAAACTGATATAATAAACTGCGACTCTGAAAATATATTGTTATTTTATCAAATGTATAATATAAATTGCACGACACATTTAATAGATAAGAGAAGCAATGTAGATATGGATTGGTATATCTTGATGTAAACTTTTAATTGTCAGATTATATGTAGCATTGTTTTATAAATCTCTATCTCTAAATATTAACTTACAGCACTATGAATCAGTTATAAATTGTACTGTTATTATTTTCCTGATATAAATCTATTTTCAAAGTGAAACTGATAAAAGTGTACAGTTCTGATACATAAATATTGAATAATACTCAGTCACATGTAAAAATATTAAAAAAGTTAACACAAAAGTTAAATGGTCCAAATGAAAAATAATTTCAGTCTGACAATCAATCGTGAATCAACAAAACCAATTTTGCACAGAGTTTTAAGATTTTTATATTCTGAAGTACACTGTTTTCCAAATATAATTTTTGGCAAACATTTAAACTGTATAGACATTGCAATTTGTTATATAATGCGTGATAAATGCATAACGCTTTACATTGGACTTTAATCCTTCAAGGCAAAAAATTTTTTAAAAATTATTTGTTTCGAATTATACAAAGAACTTCGTTTTCTCTTTGTCGTGAAATAACTGTGGAATGTGATGCATTGCAAAAGCACGCAACAGACATGAAATAAGTATTTATTTATTATCGAAACATATGACTGACAAAACACATCATCGACGGCAAATATATAAATACGAATAACATTTCCGTTGCTCACCATTCGACAATTTCTGCACTGTTTACATTTGTATAGACATAACTTTCAAAAATTTTAAACTGTAAGAATACTAGAATGCCTTCAAAAAAATTACGTTTTGTATTTTGTTGCGTAAACGTTTATACATTGGATCTAAAGTTGCCTAATGGATACCCTTCTACATATAGCACACAGTGGTACGCAACAACGCGTGGCAAGAAGCGACGCGATACCCACACAATCATCGACTGTTTGACATATGGCGAATCGCAGTATAGAGATGATTGGTTTACAAGCCTTTATCTCAAGCCTGTATCAGACTATGCAACTTGTTTCAGCAATTCGCAAGTGATCTAGTAAATTACTATAAATGCACCATACAGCACAGGCTTTAACGTTGCGATGTTGTCGAACGTGCCGATTGGCTGCCAACAATAGCAAGTTGGGAACTTCCGTCAGAAAGCTTTGACTATATGAAAATATGAACTGCTAGAGCCAACTTCACGTTGATAGCCAAGATCTGTAGCGACACCGTGTGGCAACGGGACCAGGAATAACTAATCCATACAATAGTGTGCGTATCAAAAATGTGTGGTGTTTAGTGCATGATGTCGATTTGTATCTTTGATAACCATTTAAATATATAAAAATGGTGTTATATTGTTTTGTGGAAGGCTGCGAATCGAGGAAATATAAAAAAGGGAAAATAAATGACTCCAGCCTGCAGTTTTACGGGTCTAATCCTTGAATTTTTCTTACGTATTTTGAATTTCTCGCAATTTGCCACACGGGGCGGGGCCAAAATCTCGTAAAATATCGAAAAATGTTAGATACATATCTTTATACACAGGTTAGATAGGAAAAGTGTGGGGTAACTAGCAGTCCATATTTTCATAGTCAAAGTCGGAAAGTTATTAGATTTTTGTCCCAATGGTTGCAATAAATTCGAAATTCCACTTCATACGACAATCGTGAACAGTATTTGCACATGTAGGACAAAATTGGTGGTACGCAAAATCGCATGCGCTCCAGGAACCAATCAGTGCGTCCGACAACGTCAACAAATGTAAGGTGAAATCCCTTTACCATAGAAGACGCGTCATTGCATCCAACTGATCGATTTTGCATATGGCAAAATGTCAAATAATTAACAGTGCTTTTCAAAATATCACATAAGCTCAACTCTGATTTAATTTGATCTTCGGTGAAAATCTTTCAGAGAAATCAAGGTATGTACATATGAATCTGATATCTTGAGAATGTTGGTTGTCATATTACTCACAAAATTTTGTTCTCTCAAATATATTAAAATATCATCAACTCAATTACACTTAATAACAGATTGTTAATATTTTTGATTAGAATTCTATGCATGACATAGAAATTTTATCATTTTTCTTTACCTAATTTGTCAATGTTACTCCAATGTTCTTTATCAGTAAGAAAATGGCTACTCTACCATTGCTGTTGGTCGAAGAAGATGTTGAACGAGGTGGCAAGGAACACGCTGAGCATGAAATACAAAATGATTTTGCATATAGAAACAATGTGCATAATGCAGACATCAATATACGAATGGGTAATTATACAATGTTATAAAAATTTGAAATTAACACGTTTATTTTAAAATGTCATGTGACATTGCAATGTAATCATTTGATATAGCTTGATGATATCTTTATACTTAATGTTAAGTAACAATGAAATAATATTATGACTTTTTTTAGGTTTCTTACGGAAAGTTTATGGTTTGTTGAGCATTCAGCTTTTGATGACAGTTGTAGTGGCTGCTGTGTTTGTAATGAGCTCAACTGTGAAGTTATATGTACAACAGAAGTAAGAAATTTGTTAATTCTTTATTGTAAATATGGAAATTAAGAAAAACATTGTTAATTTATTTATTGTTTAGTCCATGGACTATAGGTTTAGCCTTTTTCATGACGATGGGAATTTTGATTGCTTTGATGATAAAGAGAAGGGATCATCCTGCTAATTTGATTCTTTTAAGTGCATTTGTAAGTATGCAAAGAAACTAATTACTGTTCACTCTATTATATGTGGTTTCTGTAAAACTTTGCTTTCAAAATTGTAGACTTTGGCACAAGCATATAGCATTGGAGTTGTGGTGTCCATGTATGACACCACACTAGTTCTGGAAGCATTGTTTATAACTCTCACTGTTTTACTTGGCTTGACAGCTTACACTTTTCAAACCAAGCGAGATTTCTCATTTTTAGGATTTGGGTGAGTATCCCTTTTTTTACATTATTCTGTTTTAATCATATACTTATTCGTTCTTTTTTTTTTTACAGATTGTTCCTTGGACTTTGGTGTCTCTTGATCGGTGGTTTACTACAAATCTTTATTCAGAGTAGTGCACTGGAATTAGCTATAAGTATTGGAGGTGCATTACTATTCTGTTTGTTCATCGTTTTTGACACTCAAGCAATAATGCACAACTTATCTCCTGAGGAATACATTCTGGCGACAATTAATATTTACTTAGATATAATAAATTTATTCTTACATATATTGCGAGCTCTTGCACTTTCAAAACAATAAATAGTGTTACCATACATCGTTGTTTATAGAGATATGCGAAAAGCACAAGTTATATAAATCTTTTGTTATTGTATAAAAATATCCAACAGTTTTGAGTATATATATAAGTAAATTTTTATGTGAGTGCTTCTATAGTTCTTGAATTAATAAAAATATAATTTAGTAAGAAATATATATTGGATGTAAGGTTTTAGTATTACAAATATATATCAAATATATTTTCTGTGAAAAAAAAACTAGAAAATTTTGTTTTTGAAATTTTATTGTGTTTTATACGTAAACAAAGAAAAATATCAAAATTTATGACGTTTCCATAGCAGCTGTCACATCTTCTGTATATTTTCCTTTGTCTTTGCCCAATGCAGCCAGTCTTCCTTTACTTCGCCTATCAATAATCTTCTTACGATCTTTATCCATCTTCAATTTAACAATAACCGTCTGAAAAAATAATACTGGTTTCAGATAAATTTAAGCAATAAATGTGCAAAATTATAAGAAACTTAATGATAGAGTCAGTGCCAATTTCTCTGCATTAATTAGATCTAGCAAGACTCATCAACTCACATACAGGAAAACCCTGCACAAAGTTTCAAAATCTAGCTATTTATCTAATTCTATGCGAATGGATTTGGTTTAAATCATCATAAATGTAGAAAGAATAGAAACTTAATAAATTTAATTTATCATATACTTATTAATTGTACTGTTTTTACCTTAGAAGGATCAATGCCAACATAGACGTTTGCACTGTTTGCCTTCTCACGTTGAATTCGTTCAATATATATGACAAACTTTTTTCTATAGACTTGGACAACTTTTCCTACTTGTTGACCCTTGTAATGACCACGTACTACCTTTAAGAAATACATCACAAATAACACACATATCTATGTTCAACTTGTATACTTAGAATTTTTTTCGTATATTCTAAGTCTCAAAAATATAATTATAAAATAGAGCAATTTATTTGTACGTGTTGTAAAATGGTAGACTCAGATAATACTCATAGTAAAAGATACTAATAATAATTAAATATTTCAGCATGCGATATTGCAAATATAAGATAATTTAAAATAGTGTAAAAAGATTAATTTAGATCATAATTGATTTACCTGTACTTCGTCATCTTTGCGAATCGGCATCGATCGCACATTGTACTTTTGTCGCAATTCTTTGGATAGCGGAGCAGACATAAGCCGTCGCCTGATGTGAGAAGGTGCTGTAAAATGCCTCTTCCTGTTTTCCTGCGTGAGGAAGATACCAGCCGATTCTACTTCATCTTCGTGGATTCTGTAACGAAGACATACTATTTTATCTATCTTCGTCTATTTTCGATTTTAAATCTTCAAAGAAATATAATTTACAATATCAATCGTAACGTGTATGCACTGCTCAAACGAAATGCGTTGCAAAAAGTTAGGTTATATCCAGTACTGACATTAAATCGATACAGTTATCGTAATTTTTCATATGTACGAAAAATAAAATCCGCATATATAAATAATGATTTTATAGATTTTATTTATGTAAAATATCGTCATATTTTTCTTCGTTTGAGTCAGATTCCACGCGATTAATATTCGCTCGACTCACCAACAACAATTCAACGTCGCGGCATTAACTGGAAGGATAATACTAGACTATACATGTCACAAGATACCTAACAGCAATGGCCACTTTCCAACGAAGACTAATGGACCAATGGACACATTTGGTAAAAAGAACACATTATTGTAAACAAATCTGATTCGTTGGATCTAAAGAAACTAGACCAATCAATAACAGAGAGAAGTCTGAGAGGGGCCATGCCATTGTTTTTCGTACGACGCTTTCTCTAGGCCGTACAGTAGCGCTAACTGGATCCATTTTTTGAGCTGGCGGAACTACATGGCCAGATCCATTTTTCGCTATGGTAAAACGGCCGATTGGTGTATGTCTGTGCTAGATCCACAATTATGGATCTATGCGTCGTACGAAAAACAATCGCATGGCCCTTCTCAGTCTTCTCTCTGATGATACATACATTAAAGAAAAATAAAGAAACATTTTAAAAATCAAAGAGTAACAATAACATCATCAATATTATTATTATTTACATTTGTTATATTTAAGAAAAATAAATAAGCTAGAAATGCAACTAAAACGAACAACGTTCTGCCTATCGTGCACACCACCAGATTTAAAACGCAAGCGTCGAAACTTTATTTTTTTATTGATTTTTCTGAAAATAATAATTTTTTTAAATGAACGGATACCATATGGCATATCTTTTTACTAGACTAAAACACTTTACTTTTATTTTTTGTTAACAAAATTTAATTTAATTTTTAATCTAAATAAAACATAACGTATTATAATTTTTTTTTAATTATGACACGTTGGTATAATATAAGATATATTATTAAACTTGTCTTCACACACACACACACACACACACACACACACACACACACACACACACACACACACACACACACACACACACAC